TGTCTACTCCTCCAGCCCCTACACCCTCTCCCTGTCACCTCCTCCAGCCCCCTACACCCCTCCCTATCTCTGTCACCTCCTCCAGCCCCTACACCCCTCCCTATCTCTGTCTACTCCTCCAGCCCCTACACCATCTCCCTATCTGTCACCTCCTCCAGCCCCCTACACCCCTCCCTATCTCTGTCACCCCTCCAGCCCCTACACCCCTCCCTATGTCTATCACCTCCATCAGCATCTACTTCCTTGTCTATCCCTGTCACCTCCTCCATCCTTTACAGTTTTCCCTATCTCTATAACATCCTCCAGCTGTTACAACCTTCACTAACTTTGTTTCCGATACCTCCGATAGTCGCCGGCTCAGCTCTTTGTTGGGGATTTGGGGGTGGGGGGTTGCCTGAGTTTTTGGAATTCCATCCCTAAACCTGCCTACCTCACTTTCTTCAAAATGACCCTCTTTGATCAGGATTTTGGTCACATGTTTCTAACATCTCCTTACATGACTCAGTGTCCGATTTTATGTTACAGCGCTCCTACAAAGTGCCTTGGGGACGTTTTATTCCATTGAGTGCTCTGTAAAACCGCGACTTGTCAATGTTGTTGTGTTAGTTGTTCCGCAAGAAATGTCAAGTGCAATGCACAGTGTTCATTTTACATATTATATTATAGCATTAACCATTCAATAACACTGACTTCGCCCTCTGATTATTATCCACTCATAGAATCTTAGACTCCCTACAGTGTAGAAGCAGACCATTTGGCCCATCAAACCCACACCTTCCCTCCAATGAGCATCCTAACCTAGCCTTGTAATCCTGCATTTCCCATGCCGAATCCACCCAACCTGCACATTCCTGGACATTGCAGGGCTATTTCCCATGGACCAATCCACCTTAACCTGTACATCCCTGGACACTATGGGTAATTTAGCAAGACCGATCCACCCTAACCTGCACACGTTTAACTGAGGGTGGAATCAAACCTGGGACCCCGCTGCTGTGAGGCAGTAGTGCTAACCACTGAGCCACCCATTTCAGTTGGCAACCTTACTCTATAAATTGAACCAACACCATAGCCCTCCTCCCCCAGATAATTATTTTAATTCATTCATTGGATATGGGTGTAGGCCAACATTTACTGCCCTTTGGTTTTGACTGAGAAACACTGATGGAACAGCCAATATCGTTCCAAGTCAGGATGTTGTGTGTGTGGTGGAGGAATGTGGCTCGGAGGGAATCATATTTGGTGGGTGCTCGCCAGCATCTACTGCCCACTCCGGGGGTTGGGGTGGGGGGGTGGGGGTTGAAAGATGCTGTCGGAGGAGCCTGGGCGGGTTGCTGCAGCGCATCTTGTTGACAGTACACACTGCTGTGGCTGTGTGTTGATGGTGGACAGAGGTGCATTTGCAGCTCAGCGGAGCATTCCTAATGAGGCTATCTGATCTGCCACTCTGCGTCGTTGGTGGGGGGAGTTGGGGGTTAACGTGTCGATAGGGTATGTGGTAGGGGATTCCCTTGTGCTGGATGGTGTTGAGCTTTTTCAGTGTTGTCAGAATGGGCTTTCCTGTTGGAGCTTAGATACTCACTTAGCTTCCTCAAGCCATTAGACAATTGTTGGTGTATATTTATAGCTTGTTGTACGAAGTAAACTCCACGACCATTAACACCCCTACCCGCCCCACACCTAAATAATAAATTGCTTGGCTCAAATATTATTTGTTGTAAGTCGAGGGTGAAGTCGTCTTTTTTTTCGTTGTTCATTCATCCATCCCTAACTGCCCCTGGAGAAGGTGGTGGTGAGCCATCTTCTTGACCCACTGCAGTGCCCGTGTGGTATAGGGACACCCCGCACAGTGCGGTTAGGGAAGGAGTTCCAGGCTTCTTACCCAGCCACACTGAAGGAATGGCCAATATCATTCCCAGGATGGTGTGTGTGTGCATGTGTGTTTGCAGAGGTTGAGGGGTTCAGTGGGGAACTTGCAGGGACTGGTGATCCCCCTGCATCTGCTGTCCTTCGTCCTTGCAGGGGGTAGAGGTGGCGGGTTTGGAAGGTGCTGTCGTAGGAGCCTTGGCAAGTCACTGCAGTGCATCTTACTCGCTGCTGGATTCCCAGCCTCTTATGTTCTAACCACGTTTCCCCCACCCTACCTCTATTTGGATTTTGGGGTGCAGGGCTGGGTGGGATGGTAGCCTGTGATGGAGGGTCCCTGGACAGAAAGCAGAAAAGTAGGCACTTCCTTCATCAGGCTCTGTTGAAAGCTGCCCCTTCCCAACTGTGACAGTGCCAAGGTAGACGAAGGATTGAGATGGAAAGGAGGCCATGGCACCCGTATCCCCAGCTGAAGTAGATAAGATTAAACAATGAAGAATTATAAAGTGTAAGGAGGAGAAATCCAAAAGGTCATTGACAAGTTGGTGGAATGGGTGAGGAGCTGGCAGATGAAGTTCAATTACAGAGACGCCTGAGGTGATGCACTTTGGCATTAAGAACATCGATAGACAATACAAAATAGGGGTTACAATTCTAAAACGGGGTGTGGCAGGAGCAGAGGGAGCTGACTGTATATGTACACAGACCATAAAAGTTGGCAGGACAGGTAGAGAGCGCGGTTAATAAAGCAGAGTGTCCTTGGCTTTATTCATACAGACATCGAGTACAAGAGCAAGGAGGTGATGCTGAACTTGTACAAGACACTTGTTAGACCTCAGCTGGAGTACTGTGTACAGTTGTGGGCCCCATGTTAACGGAAAGATGTGAATGCATTGGACAGAATGCAGAATCGATTTATAAGAACAGTTCTAGGGATGAGAAACTTCAGTGACAAAGATGGACTGAAGAATTTAGAGAATGTTCTCCTCTGAGAGAAGAAGACTGAGAGAGAGATTTGTTAAGTCTTTCAAAATCATGAACAGAAATCGAGAGAATAGAGGTGGAGGATAGCTCAAGGATAGGCTGAATGGCCTCCTCCTGTTGCTGAAACTAATGCATTCTTTTTAAGTCAAAGGGCTCAAACCTCAGTGTCTGCCTTCAGCCTGACACATCGGATATAGCGTAGTTGAAATTTCAGTCCCCAAAACAGGTCCTAACACAAATTATTCTGAAGAAAGTTTCCATCCTGTTCCTCTTTGTTGATTTAGCTGAATTCAGTCAAAACTGAAGGATGGGACTGTGAAGGAATTAGTTCCTAGCCCAACAGTGAATGTAGCAGAGACTGTATAAGATATTGGAGAATAGTTTTGGAAGCTGGTTGAAGAAGGCAGGGGTTAAACTGTCCTCATCAAACACTCCCAGGTCAGGTACAGCATGGGGTTAAAGCTCCCTCTACTCTTTTAAACTTAAAGTAAAGCATACCTACACTGTCCCCATCAAACACTCCCAGTACTGGGTGATTACAGAGTTAGATACAGAGTAAAGCCTCATTGATTCTTTTAAACCAAAAATAAATCTCCATCTGCACTGCTTCCAACATAAACACTTGCAGAGAATTAGGATACAGAGTATACCCTCCCTACCTCTGTAATCTACTCCAGTTGGCGACAACCCTCCCTCTCTCTGTAACCGTAAACAACCCTCTGAAATCTCTAAGCTCCTCCAACAGGCAAATGGGACTAGTTCAGTTTAGGAAACCTAGTCGGCACAGATGAGTTAGGCCGAAGGGCCTGTTTCTGTGCTTTATGCCTATAAAAACGATGACTCTTAAGCAAGAGCATAAATCCCATCACTTGGCCACTTGCTGCCTTGCCTTCAGCTGCCTGAGGTCCTAAGCTCTGGAATTCCAGCCCTAAAGCTCTCCACCTCCTTGTGTCCTGTAAAACGCTCCTTAAATCTCTTTGGGTCACCCGGCCCTAATCACTCACAACCATGCTTCGGTGTCGAATTCTACCAGTGACTACGCGAGTGAAGCCCTCGATGGGGGCCGCTCAACTGAACTAACAGTGCTATGCAAATGTGAGTTGTTGTTAAATCTTTCTACAGTGTTTTATCGAGACTGCGTTCTGAGATGAAGCCTCCTCCACCGTTTGCTCTCCCACTCTGCTACGACCCGCATCTCTGATCAGGGAGCACAAACTGACTTTTGGCACGATACTTAGCCTCAGCCTTTGAAGCTGGCCTTATTCTGCATTTGCACACAGATTCCGTTGGTATCTAGACTGTCCATCTCACTGTGATGTAGGCGGTGACCGCATTGGTGTTTGCTGTTTGTGTGAGATTCCTATAAAGTGCATTCTCATTGTCACGACCAGAGGAAACTTGGTGGAGCAGAGATAATAAAGCAGCGGATATTGTCCTGTCGTGCGGACTTCATTGTTATAAAACTCTTTCATAAGGCTTCATATTTCTCTCGTGTAGCTAAACAAATGGTTGAGATCCGAGACAGACCCCAGGAATGACTTTGGACATGCCATTCTACACCACCCCAATGGCTCCAAACGCCTTCCCATTCACTCCCACTCTACACCACCCCAATGGACCCAAACCCCTTCCCATTCACTCCCACTCTACACCATCCCAGTGGACCCATACCCCTTCCCATTCACTCCCACTCTACACCATCCCAATGGACCCAAAT